ATAAATAAAATTCTACATTTCAGAAAGCCAGTATGCTCTAATGACAGTAATTGTCCGAAACTAATAATACTAGTAAATTCTTTAAATATTCCTATCTGGTTCTAACAGAGGACACAATATAAAATAATACATACCAGCCAAATTCTAGTCTGTCCACCTCCGTCCACTTCCTCCTCGATGTGGGTGTAGTGGGTTTAGCAGGGATATTCTTATCCCGAAGCCGGTACACAAGATACAGCAGATACTCGTCATCGGCACTCTCAGGCCCATAGCCCCAAGTCCCTTCCTCTCCGCCCATCCAGCGTTCAAACTCCGGGCAGAAGGACTGGAACATGAAATAGGCCTGGATGTGGCTCAGGACCGCCTCCGTGAAGGCTTTGACGGAGTACCTGCCCCCCGAGCCGTTTCTGGGTATGGAGGACCTGGTGACGCGTGCCAGAGCTACCATTCCGGAGTAGTTCTTCCTCTTAAGGCGTCGCCACTCGTAGTCCATGAGCCTCAGATTTCGAGTCTCAGGGCCTCCGGAGGGACTCTCCATTCTACCTATGTCATTCTTGCCCCGTTTGTTTCCCGAGTTGGGTGAATCTGCCTTGCTTCCGTTTACCTTGGAGGCGGCGACGGAGAACTCAGAGAAATGGTGACCCAGGGTGCGAAACTGAGTCACGATGGAGTTACATTTGGTTGTTAACCGGATTACAGCTTCGTCAAAGTCGAAGGCGCGGTCAACATCGACTAACAGTGCGGAGTCGTAGCTGTAGCCCCCCTTGCTGGGCTCCAGGCACAGGCACTCGAACACTCTTCGCTCACTCATCATGCACGCCCGCCACGTACCCGCCTAACTCGACCTACGCGCCCGCACACCCACTAGCTAGCGGTCTAACTCCTCACACTGCTCTTGCATCCAAACACTACAAAATGAATAAATATCATGAACCCGCATAAACTGTAAAAAGTGACGTACGTTATAAGTTACCCCTTTGGTGATGAAAGCTAATTGAGTCCTGTTGTGCAATACACGATCATATAAGTTTAACCAACAATATCCATTTACAAATCCTTCACTATTCTGCAATGATTTAATCAAGACCATAACAGATATTCCTCAGCCATTCAGTTCTTTACTCGCTACACGCTCAAGAAACAAACAGCAGGTGACCATGGAAATTACGCGCACGTCTTGTTAGATTCAAACACAAGCATATTTACTCATAAAGTAACAAATGGCAACTGCTCTCTCGACAACAGACAATCTACGCACGTTCTCTCTCCCTCTCTTTTATCACCCTCCTCTCTTCCAATCTCTCTGCTTACCACGCTGCCCTCTCACTCTTACCCCCTCTGCTCTGACGCACCCCCCCGCCCTTCGTTACACCCACAATAAGCTTTCTGGCCGTATTCCCACACTCATTCACGGGCATAACAGGCATACGCGGGGGTCCGGGTTGCTACGTTCTCCTTCACTATTCTTCTTAAAGACAAGCACTTTTCTCAAGCCGATCAACTGTAGGACGAGAAAATGAATGCAAATGAACCAAACCATAAATGCCAACTGTGATCAATTAACATAATTTGGAATGGGCACGGATGTTACTTGTACCAAACCAGATGAACGAATGCCAAAGCTATCAACACAAACCCAAGAGAGGTGTTGCCCATAAGATTTGTGAATATATTTAATTTACTGGGGAATTTATACCTCATTATATAACATTTTTTTCCACAATCAATTTCTGTATTCACCTGTAACGAAAACTGTACACTACTCGGGTCACTGAAATGAACACAGCACAAAGATGGGAAGGGCCCGCGCTCGACACTACCACTCGCTTCCCTTGCTGTGTCACACTGGCGCGCAGTCTGCCAGTTGGCCCACGTGCGCACAGTGGGGGCTGGCGGGGGGTGGGGAGCGGGGCCGGTGGGGGAACGGGGGAAGGGCTGGAGTGGGTGGAGGGAGGGCGGGGAGAGGGACAGGAGGAGGATGGAGGAAGGGGCTGCTGGAGGGCGGGAAGACAGGCAGGAGGAGGATGGAGGGGGGGGCTGTTGGAGGGCGGGGAGAGGGCTGTCGGACGGATGGCTGTGCGCGGGAGAGGGAGGGAGTTCGGGCTGTCGAGGGGGGCGTATGGGTTGCCGGGGAGGGCTCTTGGGTTACCAGGGACGAAGGGATGCGGGGGAGAATTCGACTTGGCAGGGATTCTCTTCTAGTGGGGGTTACATAACTTTAACAATACACCGAGTTATTTCAGTCTCATTTGCGGGTGGCGTTACGCAGAATAAATAATGATTTACCCTCAACACGAGATGCAAGCAAGGATGTAATGAAAGTGAGCGTTTGAAGTGCTTAGTAAAGATCCTGGCAACAGCATATGCACAGCAGTAATGATACGTGTAGTTAGCGCTAAGTTTACGGACCAAAAATATTCCACACTCTCTTATATTTTTGAGAACTTTTAACTTTTAATCCTCGAGTAGGATGTAAATTTCATCTGACACGCTTGCTTTGGCATTCCTTATCAACCAATATTTAATCCAGTTTATTGTTGTTTTTCTGTAACCAATACATCCCACCAAACATGGAGCACCTCAAACCCAGCGACTGGTTGGTATAATTGCATCTTCACCATTGGCAAGGTTGCAAGTTTTGTTTGCTTCGTGTTTCAGGGTTGCTTCTCATATTGAGGTTAATGGTTGCCTGCATTGTACTTTACTAACTACTTCGTCAATGTATATCTGATTGAAGTTAGTAGTGAATCCGAAGTGATAGCTGATATCTAGCAAGCCACAAACTATTCACATAGACAGTAGCATTTACGGCAAAAATGTGGTACGGACTAACAATCTAAAGTAATCTAACCTATCCTAACCTAAGCCTAATGTTAGCAACCACCTGATGATCATTTTAAAAATAGTTCGGAGTTAAATATATGAAAGACCGGACCTGCCAAGCCAAGAATAATGCTAAAGTTTACAGTTAATGGTCCATGCATAATGTCGAGATATTTTGCCGTTAATGATGTTTGTTTAGAAGTAAATATATATGATCGGGTACACGTGCATTTGGCATGACGCTCATGCCTCAGGCCTGCTCTAAGAACATGTATTCCCCTGCGTATGTGTATTTAACCTAGAGTGGTAATGCTGACCGTATTTCATCTTTTACTAGTGATGATGGAAACACAAGAAAAAGTTTCTCAACTTCAAGTGATGGTTGCTAGGCTGGACCTACTGTTGGTAAAAATAAACATGCAGTAATCATCTAATGCTTGTCGAGTGCTGAGCATGCTTGCATTGGATCATCATTGGATTATCACCTTTAAGCCTGCAAGTTTTGATTACGCAGAATAAAGGCATTACATTCAAGATACAACAACTGAAAGGACTGACGCTGAAAGTTACGTAACACTGAGTCCACAGTGTACATTATGAACAGGGTCACTCGAAAACCTTACGGAATGTTTGAAAACGAAGGTTGTTTTTCATGAATTGCGGTAACAAATTTCAATAAATATTCGGGGAAATACATACACGATGGATAACGGAGATCGAACTTACAGACCTGAAAAGTTGAACTTCAAACTCTGTGTGTATGGGCTCCAAGATTATAAAATAACTAGCGAGTGTCCACAAAACTATGCACCGGAGTCACTCTCTATATACACTGCCAACTCCCATTTTTTTCAGTTTCCAAGCTTTCTTTGGAACAACACAATTTTCCTGTGGTCTGTAGCATTTGGTTGAGGACCACATGCTATAGAGTTCCAAGTTAGTATTTTTTTCTGTTCTTAAGATATTGGTGTATTGTCGGGCAGACAAACACACACTTTGCAAAAAAAATATATATTTTTTAGAAGCTGATTATCATGGTTACGATAATATTGCTCAAAACTACAATGCTTGCAGGGACACTAGTACTAGTATTCCCACCACAAATAATCATAATATTGTTATGATTATCACCAACATCATCATTAATACGCAGTTGCATAGAAGCGCTCAGTATGGTTAAATTCGGACGTACCCGGCCTCAGCGTCCTTGCTAATGTACATGGTCAAGCCTCCAAAGTTTACATGTAAACTGTATGCAGCGACTATGTTGATAATAGAAGCGTATCTATAGCTCCTAAATATAATTTTGGTACATGCAGGACTTTAGTTAGTGTAACCAACAGATATACACAGTTTATAGACGGAATGTCGTTATAGTTGGTTTTATCAGTATAGATATCAGCACCAGCAACAGTAATTGTAGCAACAACAGTATGTAGACACAATTATAGATAAATATACAGTAGACGCAACTCTCTCTCTCTCTCTCTCTCTCTCTCTCTCTCTCTCTCTCTCTCTCTCCCTCTCTCTCTCTCTCTCTCTCTCTCTCTCTCTCTCTCTCTCTCTCTCTCTCTATATATATATATATATATATATATATATATATATATATATGTGTGTGTGTGTGTGTGTGTGTGTGTGTGTGTGTGTATCTGTGTGTGTGTAGCAACAATATGTATACATACACATATATAAATATATATATATATATATATATATATATATATATATATATATATACATATATATGCGTGCGTGTGTGTGTGTGTGTGTGTGAGTGGTGTGTGTGCATATCTGTGTCTGTGTGCATATACACAGTGGTGTAGCTAAGGGGGTACATGAAAGCCTAATTCACAGGCAGTGGTGGATCCAACGGAGGATGATAAACTGCGCTGCAACAAGAGTACTACACGACGCATATGTATGAGAATAATTTAGCCAACAATGTAAATACGGTTGAGCTGTGTGTATGTTACTACTGATATAATGCGCACAGCATTTCCAACTTAAAAGCGTAACAGTGTTTTCCAAAATACTTATAAAGTGTATGTGAAAGGCTAAAATTTCTACAAGACGAGCTACTCCTCTGTAATTTATGTGCCAGGCCTCCCTTGTTACAATGACTTGCAGTTCATGAGAGCAATGTCATAATTTGCTGAATAAACATGGTAGTCATC